AATATTTTGTAAGTTTTTAATGAACAAACAGTATGTATTTCCATGAGTTATTAATCTGAGCATTCTACAGACTTGTGCACCCAACCCTTCTAGTCCTAAGAGGAAGGAAATTCGTGCTGTGAATGATATCCAAAATAGGGTAAAAAGTCAAAATTAAGTTTGGATTTTAAACCAAGCAAATGTACAGTGCTGAACACAGAGGTGCAGCAACGTTACAGGTACAATGATGACACTTTCAATAACTGGAGCAATATTACAACTATCACATCTTCCAGAAGTGTTTAGCAGAGACTTCAGTGCCATACTGCCTTGACAAATGCTATGCCTGCAGGAACAGCCTCTTTCCAAACTGAGCCAAGAAGCATTTTCTCTCTTTAGAGCTGGAAACTTGGGCTTGAGCAACCATTCCTCTCACTGGACCACGTGCATTAGTGTTAGGATGCACGGATTTCCTCAAAACGCAAAAAAAGAGAAACCTTATAAAGGCACATTTAAATGCCTTGTGCACAATGTTTGCAATGTTATCATTACTGAGCTATAAGTAGCCTCCCAGCCCAGGTGTTTTCTCCTCTTTCTAATGGTTTGTGAGCAGAGAACAAGAAACTTCTCTTTTATATTAAAGGTCTGATCGCCACCTCAACGAGCGGAACACCAGAAAGTTGCTGTGCCTCTAAACCCTCATCCCAGCCACCCTCAGCATGACCTTAAATAAAGCAACAAACAAAATTCATCATCACACAACCGTCTCCACCGCAGTTCCCACTTTCAGGGTGAAGTTTTTGAAAGACCAGTTCAGTTCCAGGCTCCCAGGAGATTCTCAGAAACCATTTTTTCAGAAAATTTGACCTTATGGTACCATAAGGTCGGCTGCAGGACTGCAATGCTTTTCAAAAGCTGCTTTCTGTAACTGGCTGGGCACTTGAAAACCCAACCTCAGCTGTAACTTTAAGAGTCTCTTTTCTAATAGAGACTGCAACACAAATTGCAATTGCATTTTTATATTTTCCCTTAAGTTATGAGCTCTTCTGAGCATGGAATAGTCCAATGATGAAAGTAAAATCCTTTAAAAAAAACCAGGTAAAACAGTTTCAAGACACAAGCCAAAAGCAAGTTAAGTACAGAAGCTGCTAAAACACAGCTTAGAGCTTTAGTATCAATTCAAAGCAGAGTAGACTCAATTATAAAGCAAAGAACAAACAGAACAAGGACAGTTATGAGAAACATTTCAGCTCACAGTGCAGCTTTGTTAGCTACAATAACGTTTGGTTTATCAAATTAAGGATCAATATCCAGCTAGCGTGAAGGAAGTGTTATTTATTTGTTATCTTGCTGCTAAGATTTTTTGGTTGAAAAGCTTTTCCTTTAAGAGTTTTTCACAAATGACATCTTAAAGGTGGCCTGTCCACAGCATTAGGAACAGTTAAAATGTTTCTCCGCTCTTAGAAAAACTAAGAGGTATTTAAATAAAGTTGAGCCAGCTTTGGACAACTTGGAAAGCTTCTTGTCATGGCTTCTGATGCTTGGAAAGTTAATTTAAAATTAAACACACAGACCATCTGCAGAGAGAACATAGCTCACATCCCTGCCACTACTCCCGAAACCCTCAACGAAGAGGCCTAGTGGAATGAGCTGTAACCATGGATGTAAAGGACTCACTCTCCTCTTGCAAACAAACTGAGATAACAACACAGGAGCCAGAGAATTCCCGTTCCACACCCAATCCCACCCCAAGATAATAAGGCCAGAAAAAGGACCCTGAAAGCGTGTGTGGCTCCCTGCTTCACTACCTTGTAATAATGCTCCAGCAGGATCCTGACAACGCCTTCCACGCTCTCCACTTCCACAGGCTTCCTGGCAAACTGCAGCAGGTACTGCAAGGCATCGGCAGGCGAGGTGGCTTTGCACAGGTCGACGTGGAGCGCTGCGGACTTGCTGGGCTTGGTCAGGCGCAGCTTCTTGGCCGACAGGTCCTCATGCTGCTGCTGCGGGGGCACGGGGCAGAAACACAGGGGGAATATTTCCCTGAGGAAGCTCTTACGGCACTCACTGGTGGTTCTCTTTATTCTGGAACACCCTGCAGCCCTCTGGGGCAGCTCCCACATGCAGGTAAACACCGCTTGAGGTAACTCCAGCCCCTTCCAACCCTAAACAACCGCTACTCTCTCACTCCCCTCTCCAGAGCAGCTCCTCCAGCCCTAAGAAAACCCCTTGCCCTCCTCCTCCCCCTGGGCTGGGACCACCACCATTCCCCCCTCCTCCAGCAGCAGTGACCCTCCGGCCTCTCCACCCCTAAATAAACACCCAACAGCCCCCTCCACAGCCCCCTCCACAGCCCCCTCCTCACCTCCACAGCCCCCTCCTCACCTCCACAGCCCCCTCCTCACCTCCACAGCCCCCTCCTCACCTCCACAGCCCCCTCCTCACCTCCACAGCCCCCTCCTCACCTCCACAGCCCCCTCCTCACCTCCACAGCCCCCTCCTCACCCCCACAGCCCCCTCCACACCCCCACAGCCCCTCACAGACCCCCCCCACCCCCACCCCAAACCCCCACCCCCTTCCCCAGAACCGGCAGCCGCCCCCCTCTCCCCACATTCTCCCCCCTGCCCCTCACAGGAGACCCCTGAACTCCCCCCAAGCCCCCTCAGCCGCCCCCGGCCCTATTTACCTGCACCACCTTGGTGAACTCCTCGTACACCCTCTTCTTCAGGTGCGCCGCCATCTTGTCACCGCCGCCCTACCATAGAGTTCCAGCCTCTCTATCCCGGCTGGAGGTCCGTCTCTATGGTCTGGAGGTCCGGGGAAGGGAGGGGCGGCCGCCTGTTGCCATGGGAACGGCGCGGGGGGGGGTCACAAGATGGCGGCCGTGCGGCCTGCGCCGCCTATGGGTCGGGGGGGCGCATAGAATCACAGAATTATGAAAGTTGGGAAAAAAAACCTCCAATCTGGTCCAACCACCCCCCTACCACCAATGTCCCCACCAAGCCCTGTCCCCAAGCACCACGTCCAACCTCTCCTTGAACACCCCCAGGGACGGGGACTCCACCACATCCCTGGGCAACCCGTCCCAATGCTCCTTCTAAGAAGAAATGTCTCCTCATTTCCAACCTAAACCTCCCCAGAAGTGCCCCGCAGGGGCTCATTTTTCCTCAAAAATGCCCTCCACATGGCGCCAAGTGGCAGCATTTCCAAAGATTGATGCCCACCATCCTTGCTCCAGTGGCTTTGCTCCGCTGTGGGTTTATTATTTATTATAATTTTGGTGAGAAGTGGTGGTAGTGGTGGTTCCTTCAGCTTCCCTCAGGTGTTTCCCTGAGTGTGGTGAAAGATGCTGCGAAACCATGTGTGTGGGAACAAAAATGTTGTTTTTGCACAGAGTTGCATTGTTTAGAGGGAAGGAATGTGGTATTGAGATATGCTTGCAGTGAGAAAAAAGCTTGACAGACAACCTTGTAAAATGCAGACAACCAGACTCCTTAGTGCAGATTAGGTGAAATTCACGTCATATAAGTGAAGAAACATTGCCACCTCAAAGAGTAAGAAAGCCAAAAGAAATCTGAAAAACAACAGGCTGGCAACTGAAAGCCGTGTATTACCTGGGAAGCATCACATAGGTTGTGAACCTGGACTACCCAGTCAATGGGGAAAAAGGGGAGGGTCCCAGTCATCGAGAAATAAAGTATATAAAGGATCTTCAGTGAATTTTGTCCCATGGAACTGATGTAAATGGCCAGTGTTGCTCTTGCTGCAACCAGTTCCTTGAAAAATGTTGGAAAATACTAAAATACTAAAACTGGTTTATTGAAAAAGTGCACATCCTGAATCCCTTTCAAGGCTAGGTGTCACCTCATTCTGTTTTAATCTGGTTATCTCCGACTGTTTTAAGTATTTGAGGGAATATTTGATGTATGTGATGCTACATCTTGTAAAAACTGAAATACGGATGTGGCTTGAAGTTTCCTGGCCTTGCTCATATTATAGGCAAGTATTGCATTAGGCACACATGAATGATTAACAAAGTCTTCAGATGTGTCTCCTTCAAAGAGAGAGGAAAGAAGCAGCAGTAGCGAAGAGTCCCTGGGTACTGCTGCTCTTGTCTGTCCTCTACCTCTAAACTAGAGCCAAGTGTAATCAGATTATCCTTAATAAAAGAATTAAACTTTTTAATGGCAGCGGTTCTACAGTCTTAGGAGGTTGGTTGGTTGAGGCTTTAACTATGCTATAATTGTTGTTTTTTTTGTTTGTTTGTTTGTTTTTGTTTTTTTTTTTTTTTTTTTTTCCGAATGGCTAATTTTTGTTGTGACTTAAGCCAGTTACCCCTTCTTCCAACCTTAATATAGATCAAGAGTAACTGATCTCCCTCTCCTTATAACAGGCATTTGTCTAAGTGAAAGCCTTATCCATCTATCTTCCAGGCTAAGTGCCATCAACCACCTGGTTATGATCACAGATCCTATTTTCTAAACCTTTTGCCTTTTCAGACCTTGATTCTGCCAGTTCTTAACAAGGTTATACATGTAAGAGGTCTCGACATGTCCCCTCACGCCTATGGCTGAACTGCATGGAGGCCAGTGGCGTGGCTCCCAAATTTTACTGCTGGGGTATTTGTGTCAGGATGAGCACATCTGAAATCAAACAATTAGAAATGGTTCAAATCCATTAGCATGAGGATAAAGCTTTTGAATTCAGGGATTTATCTCGGAGGATGTCAGTAAATATAGCACTTCTGTATCATTCAAAGAGCTGTCAAAATATATTGGTTTATCACCCCAGAGATTATTGCCCTTAACAGGGAGGAGTTCTTAGAGTTCTTAGAAGTAAAAGAAATATAGCCGTAATCAAATTAGCCATCATGATTTTCAGATATCCCCAGTTATTAAAACCAACCTAAAAGCCATCTCCAGTAAAAACAAAAATTAAAAAAAAAATACAATAATAATAAAATAATAATAATATAAAAACCAGCAACACCAACAAAAACAAAACAACAAAAAACCATTTGGAATATTGACATGTTTTTTATACCTGATTTAGGACCCAAGACATATGCTGTAAAGCAGAATAACCATTAAAGACCCAGGCCTTAGCTTCAGTGGCACTTCCTTCCAGTCAAATCACAGGGGGGTTCCCTATTCTTCCAGAAGCTTATAAAATTAAAAATGGTGCTGTAATAATAATGAATGCCCCAATAAAAAGATTGAAGTAGTGTGACAGGAGAGAGGAGTGTGTGTCCTCATATCAGTGATGGCATTTTTATTTTTTGTTGATCCTAGACCATAGCTGAAAGGAAAGCTATCTTTCCTTCCAAATAAATAATAAATAGCAGTAATAAATACATTGGCTGGAGAGCAGGCTAGAAAGGAACAAGAGGAGAGACTGGGACACTGAAATTCTTTTTAACATAGGTTCTGGTATGAAAACCATGACAGCCAGAGCTTTTGCTTTCTCATTAAAGATCCAAATTCAAGTTGAGTAAGTATTTACGCAGCTTTCAGTGATTCCACTTGGAGTTTCCTTTTTTTTTTTTTTTTTTTTTTTTCCACAGTTCAGATTATGTCTGATTATAATTATGATTATTATTCATGAGAAACAGTGAAGTATTAATCAGAGGAAAGACTTTATGTACTCCTGCCTTTAATCTCAAAACTACTTCCAGATTTGATCTCTTGCTTTACAAAATTGATTTTTTTTTTCAACACTGCAAGTGTTTGCTAGTATTTAGAGGTTGGTCTGTGTCCTTTATAGTCAATACTGTCTGTGTTTATTGATAATAAAACTGCAGCTGCTACGCTCTGCGCAGCTTCTGGTACAACAGACTTTAATTTATGGGTGTTCAAAGCAAGGAGAAGGCTCTGAGGTCAGCACGTTAGTGTGAAGAGACTCTAGATCTTGGTGTTTATGAGTCAAAATAAAGCTGAGTGCGGCGGACAAGTCCATGTGCTGCTCTTAACCCTAGTAACAAGCTTGGACCCTAAGGCAGCAGAGTGTTCCTGTTTGTACTGAGACTAATGACGCATGTCCACAGGAGGTATTTGGGATTATTTATTTCCCTTAGGTTGAGTAAGATTGGCTCAACCCTCAAATCTGGCTCCCTCAATTCATCTAATTGTTGGCAACAGAGATTAAATTTCCTCCTTTTCCTGGTACCTCTGGCTCTGCAGTGCCTTTACTTCTCAATATAGTCAGTACTAGTGGACACAAAAGGAATACAGATTTTGGAAAACATCATACTGCATTTCAAGACACACACTTTTTGTATAGTTATCCCCAAAAGCCCAACAAAACATGCTCTTTAATTTGGCAAACAACCAGAGAGTCTTTCGTGGGCCCACAGCCTCCACAGCCGAAGTAAAGTTGTTTAAATAATTGCTTTCTTCTGCCCTCCATCAGCGGTGGCACTTTTCTACCACCAGGTGAACAGGAATTTGTAGAAGAAGTCGTGCGATTTGAAGCGAAAACCTTTCTCGGCAACGTGGGGCTGGAAGGATATCTTGTACCCTTTGGCTTCAACATCCATCTGAATGCAGTCCAGCAGATCAGAGATGCTCGGCGCTGCTTTCCAGGGGCCGAACTTCACCACGGATTTTTTGTCCATGTCCAAACTGTTCAAGGCATCCTGGCACCTGGCCGCGTCCTCCTCCGTTCGGACAACGCAGACGATGACACCAGAGCAGCGGGACGCCACCGCCTCCGCCCTGGCGATGCGGATCATCAGTTCGATGTTCTCACTGTAGTTGGGCACGCGGGCCAGGAACTGCTTCCTCGCCACGAGCTCCCCGAAAATCTGCGGGGAGTCCTCCAGCTGCTTGATCAGGGGCTCGATGTCGTAGAACAAGGCCTCCTTGTAGACGTCCTGGACGCACTGGGTGGGCACTTGGTTGCTGCGCAGGTACTCCAAGATGTATTTGAAATAGGTGCCCGGCCTGTCGATGAAGAACCTTCCTTCTGAGTCTCGCCTGAGTTTGGGCTGGCCGGTGAACATCTCTGCCAGCTTGGAGCCAGGGTGTTTCTTTAGGGTGCTCAGCGTCGTCGTGTACAGCTCCCCCCCGACGTTCAGCTCCACGATGGGTGATAGCTGCGGGTGGCACAAGGGAACAAAAACCCCACATGTGTTACCCCTCAGTGGCTGTCAGCATGGAAGAGTCAGGGAAAAGGGGAAAAAAGAAAACACAATTGCAGCTGGAAATTGGAATGGCAGCATAAAGAGCAGGATGAACCCTTGTCCTGAGGGGGGACGATGGGAATGTCCTCATCATTTGTTTCTAAATTTAGGATATTTATGCTTGGTCCACATAACCAGAGCAGCAGAGACTTGGACATTTCTAAATGGGTCCTCACCACATCCCTGGGACATAGCAGAGTCATTTTACCCGTAGGAAAGACAGATAAGAAGAGTCCTGGGGAAGCTGTCAGTGGTTTTGGGGTTTGATGTCGATCTCCTAAACCCCACATGAGCGTTATCTCTGCTTTCAGGGCCCTCACCCTCCTGTTGCTGCACTGCAGAGGGGTGAGGATACATCTCAAAGCTGTGCAGCTCCGTTCCTCTCACCTGAGGTAATATTTTCTCTTCAGAAGCAAAACTCAAGCTTTTTGAAATCTTAGACGTGGTGGGACTGGTTTTCAGCTGTCTGGGGGGTCTGTTACAAACCCTGAAGCAGGATGCCACCATCCAGCATGTCTGAGGTGGAGCACAGAATCTTTTTACCTCAGTATCTGCGTGTGGTGGCATTAGATGGGATGTAAAGAGGATAATTCATGGAGCTGAGGTGGATTGAAGAAGGAAGAAGGCAAATTTTGGATTTTGATTTGTGTTTCTTTTAGTTCACTGTCTGAAATGTCAGGTGAGGCCTGCCCAGAGCGCGGGACCTGGCGTCACTTCTGACCTTGCTGAAGAACTTTTAGCAGCCTCCCTTTGGGTTTTTTTAGCGCTCAGTCGAGCGAGAAGAGGAAGAAATGAGGCACTTCTTTCCTCTCACAACGTCACTCCTGTGACAAATCACACTCCCAGGACCACGCCTGCCATTGGGACGGAGCGAGTCAACAACCAGCCCTCCTCTTCCTTGGATCCGACCACGCAAGGATCTGCCCCAGTGCCTCCAGTCACATGCTGGAAGTGAAGCGTGCCAGCCAGAGCTGGCAAGAGGAGGGGATAGGAACAGACAACTCATGGCTGGGGGAAACCTCGTCTTTAAAACAGCAGCAAGCCGTGAGGTCCAGCAGAAATGAGCTCACGGCTTAGGCAAGCCAGGGAAATGACAGGAGATGCTGGCCAAAGACCCAGCTGCCCCAGCGATGGGGGCTTCGTCTCAAGGGCAAGCATCTGTGACAGGGCCAAGAGAAGAGAAAACAATTTTCTGAGAGTATCTAGTGATTTCTACCTGCTAAAAAGCACACCCCAAAGCTGTTCCTACAGTAAAACCTCTAAATTAGGAAATCTGCCCTTACTCCAAGTGATAACAACAGCTTTCCCCAGCAGGGTTCATTATTAGGAGAGTCTCATGTTTTTGAGCCCTTGCTCCTTTTTCGGGAGGCAGGCTGAGTGTTTCCTAATGTTTGCCACTCATACAAATGGAAAACGTAGTCTTTGTTAATACAGTAGCCAGACTAACAACCCACACAGCACACTTTTACGTTAGGGATGCAGCAAATCGAGGTTAACATCAAATATCAAATTAATTCCACCACTTGCCAAAAGAGAAAAATAACCACCTAGGCTGTTTGCTGCTGCCTTGTATGCCTGCGAGGGACGTGGCCCTTCTGTAAGCAAAGCAGAATCCTCTTCGTCACCACACATCTGGCAAGCCCTGGTGTCTTCGAAGTAGCAGATGGGGGACAAAAAACCCTATAATGAAGCCTATAATGAAGCTGTGATCCCAGAGGAGAGAGCTGTGTCCCCGAGCCCATACCTTACTCACCGTGTGCAGGCTGCCGGTGACCTGCTTCCCGAGGGGCTTGTGCTCCGACGAAATGCTCATCTCCCCGAGACCCACGGTGGAAAGAAGGCAGGCAGTGGCTCGTCGACACCACAAAACCCGATACTTTCTGCTCAGCTCCTGCCCCGCACGCTGGATGGCCCCTCCGGCCCTCCTTCACTCGGTTTTACTTCGCTGAGTCGCTCTTTTTACCTAATCTGCTGCCCCAGAAGCTCCAGTTTTGGCCCTAACACAGCCTCGGGACAGGTTGCAGGTCCAGCCAGAGGGGAGGGAACAGCGTGAAAGCGGAAGCATTTGCTCGTTAGCTTTCTGGCAATCAGCGGGGAGCGGGCTGGACTCGGGCTGGCTGCCAGCGCACACCTCCTGTAACTCTACCTGCGCCGTCACCAGGAGCACAATGATCCTTTCCAGAGAAGGAGCACCTCTGGGGAGCCCCACTGGGCTGGATTGAAACCAAATCAACATTTTTACCACTTTTTGTTCCCCCCCTCTTTTTTTTTTTTGGCCCCAAACCATCTCACCAATGCCGCTATCGTATCCGACGCCGCCGTCGGCTCGGGGTGCCTACCATCTGGCCCAGGCGGTGTTATTTCCCTTGTTGCCAATACAAACCCCGGCTGCTGAGTAATTCGTGCAGGGTAAACAGGACCAAACCCGAATCTCTGCTGGAGCCTGAACCATTCTTTGCAATCGGGCCGGAAAGATTTGGTCGGTATCTTTTTTGCGCGGCGTGTTGGTCTCAGATATCCCGTGCTCAGCAAAGATCAGAAGTGGGAAACACCACAGGTTGCGTGGCGGTGGGGCTGTTTCCCACAAAACTGAAACACCCACAAGGAAATCTGTTCATTCCTTTTCTTTTTTAAAAAAATTCAGTGTTTCGGGGTCCCCTGTTGCTTACAGATTTGTCCTAAGGCCACTCATCGCTTCTGTGTCTTTGTTTCGTTATTGGCCAAACTGGACGTGGTTGTCCAAAGCTAAGAGGAGTTTTTGCTGGAGATGGATAAAAACGTGCAGGCTTTGGGGCACACGAGGCTTCCTCAGGTCTCTCAGCTTCTGTTTCAGCTTGCCTCTTTTTTTCCAGCTTTGTCCATCAGTCTAATAAAAGGCTTCATCTCCTCTACCCGCTCACCTTTACAACAAATCCAGTCCTCATTCGAGGCTCCATCAAAGCTGGACCCAGATATTGAAGAGCAGTAGAAGAGGCTGCTTCGTGCAACACCTTGCCTGGAAGATTTCCCCGTGCCAGAACCGAGGGTGGCTGATGAGAGAAGAGACAACAAACCTTCAGTGCCACAACACAGATCCTCGCCAGCTCAGCAAGAGGAATTAGCTGACATCCTAGAATCAGCATTTTGAGATATTTGGCTGGAGGTCACCGTGTATGTAGAAAATCTGATTGTTTTTATTCGTGCTTCTTCTGGGACTTTTTAATCCCGCCAGCTGCACGACTTGCTTGAAGATGGCATTTCTCAGTCCTGCTATGCAAATTACTCCCAGTTGGATATTTTTTTTTGTTCTCCTTTTTGGTGAGGATTCACTTTAAAGTGCCAAAGTCATCCGATCTAAAAAGGGTCCTAAAGGAAAAACTTTCTCGCAGCCCAAACCCTTGGCACATCACTGCTTACCCACGGGGATTTGGTGCCTTTTTTTGGCAGTCACACCAAATCCTTCGTGAATTACTGGGGCCACACATCCGATCTGCTTGCCGTCCCAGTCGAGGAAGGTTTTGCAGGGCAGCATCTGACTGCATCCAAGCCCCCTGAGCCTGCACTAAGTGGAAACAGGCGCTCGTGTCCCTCCTTTTACCCCACAGCCACAGCAACGCTGGGGAGAGCGGTGGGTGGGGAGCAAGCACTGAAAGGCAGAAATGGGATCTCAGCGCTCCACGCTGCTGGTAAAACCCAGCCCAGGCTGGTTTAATTTCATTCTTCCCTCGGGAAAGAAGTAAAAAGCCAAGAGGGTGAATGTCTCCATAGCCTGGAGCGACCAGGGTTTTGGGATTCCCACAACCAGCAGCCCTATTGTAGCTCCACTGCTGCTCCACACCCATTGGGAGGCTTTGACCACCACCATGCTGTTTCAGTGGGGTTAGCGGGGTTTCTCCCTTTGAGGGATGGATTTTTCTTTGGATTGAGCTGGAATTTCCACCCAGGATCTCTGCTAGGCTTTTCCAATGGTTGCACTGAGCTGGGAAGAGAAAACCTGCAGGTTTGATGGATTTGGGGGCACCACTGCGTAGAGCTTAGTGAGAAGCTCTGAGTGTCATAGATCCCTTCCTGTTCTCAAAGGGAAGGTCGCCAACAGCTATCACATTTCTCCTGTAGACACTTCAAAAGTAGATCTCCCACCGTCCCCAGCTTTCGAATGGCAGAAGAACATCTCCAAGACTCCAAGGCACCGTCCTTGCATTGCCTGAAAGGATTACCCTGTACACAAGCGACCACAAAAGTAATTAAAAAAATAATTGAGCGACAAAAATAATCATGTTAAATAACTCGGTGTCTGCCGAGGAACGAGCAACTTGACAATGGCTTCGTGGGGAATAAATATGTGGTTCTGAAAATTGTATAAATAGGCACGCAACAATGAGCTGGAAGAGCTCTGTGCTCGTTCGTACATCGGATTGGAAAGCAGTGTTGCCCGTGCAAGAATTTTTTACCAGATTTATTTCGTTAACACATCCAGCAGGCAGCTTCTGTTACAGAGAATTAGGTCGACGGCATTCCTATCTGGGTTTTATACCCCTCTGCAAGTAAATATCCGAGGGGAAAAAAAAATAATGGAACGATTACGGAAAGCAGCTGTGAAAACAGAGAGGGAAATGAGAAGCTTGGACGTGGGGAAGCAGCTTGGAAGCAGCACTGAGCGGCTCCTGTTGGCCTTGGGTTCCCTTTTGCCTGGTGTAGAAGTCACTCGAGGAGATAAAGGCACTTTGGTTCATTTTCCTGGAGCGTGTAGGAGGTGCTCCAGGGCTGATCTCCACCCTTCGTGTCATGTTGGAGTCATCAACTGGTGCAGAGGGCACCTCAAGAGCCCGGTTTCCACGACCCACCTGCTCCAGGGCATCTCAGGGAAGGAGATTTCCATGGAAAGCTGGGGACAGGATGAGAGGGAACGGGCTAAAGTTGCACCAGGGGAGGTTTAGGTTGGATATTAGGAAGAAATTCTTCACCAAAAGGGTTGTGAGGCGTTGGGATGGGCTGCCCGGGGAGGTGGTGGAGTCACCATCCCTGGAGGGCTTCAAAAGACGTTGAGATGTTGGACTTAGTGACATGGGTTAGTGGAGGAGTGGTTAGGGTTAGGTCAGAGGTTGGATGGGGTGGTCTTGGAGGGCTCTCCCAACCTAGACGATTCTGTGATTCTATGATTCAAGAGCCAGGCAATGGGACACCAGGACTGGGGACACCTCCAGCCTCGTGGAACAAGGCACAGCGTGGCCAAAAAGCAAAACCAGCAGCAGTTTGCTCCGGGTTCTGCTGTGAAATAGCTCCAGGGCCGCTGGGCAGCTCCAGGAGCCGCTCCTAAATCAAACAGCCGGGCGCTGAGCAAACACCAGCAACACTTCCAGTCCTTTATCTCCTCCACCCACCTCTGCGTGCCTGGGGAATGTGTGGCTGAGGGCTGAGGAGGTGTCTGAGGTGGCCTTGGAAAGCCCCCAAGATGCCATCGAAAGCAGCTGGTTGCTTAATTGCCTGGTTGCTATTAATGCAGCCCGGTTCCTCGCCTGTTTTAATCTAGGGGAACAGAATAAAAGAGGTAATTTTTTGTTTTAATAGCTGGTGAAGCCCTGCCTGGCTACGGGGTGAGCAAAAATAATTTATTCCCTTGAGGAATAATGTGAGACATGAGGGAAGGGAAGGGAAGGGAAGGGAAGGGAAGGGAAGGGAAGGGAAGGAAGGGAAGGGAAGGGAAGGGAAGGAAGGGAAGGGAAGGGAAGGGAAGGGAAGGGAAGGGAAGGGAAGGGAAGGGAAGGGAAGGAAGGGAAGGGAAGGGAAGGAAGGGAAGGGAAGGGAAGGGAAGGGACCAGCCTGCAGAAAACACACATTCACACTTGCTTGAGGCTTTGCATTTTATTTCAGACCACCCTTGGGTTACATCATCAGAGACCAGTGGGGAGGTAATTTAGACACACGCAAAAATAAAATAACATAACATAAAATAAAATAAAAGCCTTGCTTCAAAGTTACAGATGCCTTATACAGAGCGATAACACTGAACGCTTGCTTCTGCCCTGCTGCAGGGAAATTTCACCTCCAGGGCACGGAGGTGAGACGAAGCCGGCGGGATCGGCCGCGGGGCAGCTTGGCTGGTCCAGGCAGCGCCCGGCGAGCCGGCGGCCGAGCTCGGCGCTGGTCACGGAGGACGTTCCTCGGTGGGACTTGGCGCAGGAGAAAAGCTGCCGCTGGGCTGTGGACATCAGAGCACCCTGCGGGGAAAACGGAGGTGGTTTGGTTGGAAAGACCTCATCCTTGGTTGAATTTCGTCCAAAATTAGGGTTGGTGTTGTTCAGGGCATCTTTTCTGTATGCTTGTGCTGTCAGAGCTCTGTTGGGTGCTGAGCCCGTGGTTGGGGTTGGGTACAGGGGCCAAAGGGACTGAGGGATTGAAGTCCCACCAGCCCAGAGCCTGGCTTTGATTTCCAGGCTAGGGGAGGATCGAGGTAGCTGATGGCACATCTCATTTAGAGACCCAAAAGGGTCAATTTACTCCCCGAAAAATTAATCCTATGGTTTTCCTCAGAGAGGAAGGAGAAGCAGCTGGGGCACCGGTGTCTGGCAGCTCCTGCAGACCAAAACTCGGGGTCCTCCAAGCACCCGGCCCCTTCCTCCCTGAAGATGCTTTGGGATATTTGGAGTCCGCCCAGAGGGAGCCAGACATTGCCTAAACTGCAAGCTGGGGGCTTTGGGGACAACTTGGAGCTCGCTGAGTGACCTTTGTCCAGCGGCACAGCCCTGTGCCAGTTGGCAACTGAGCAGGACAAACACTGGAGGAGCTGTTGAGCAACGAAGGGCTCAAAACGAAGGCTCAAAACTCCTGGGGTTTGGGGGAGTGATGCAAACGCTGGGAAGACGCCCAGCTGATGGGGCAAGGAGATGACACTGTGCCACCCCTTGGCCGGCTCCTCCTCGGGCTCCGCATCTCCCCAAACTCTTACCTCGGAGGCTGGCGGGGGTGCAGGCTCACGAGCTGGACTGATCGTCGCTGAGGTTGATCTGCTCCAGGATCTGGCTGTACCTGCGCGTCAGGGCTTTGGTGTTTTTGGTCAGGTCGGTGAGGACCTGCTGCAGGCCGTTCACGTGGTGGGACAGGCGCTCCTCCAGGTTGCCCTCGGCTCCGTCATCCGGGGCCACCTCGGTGTCACCCTCGGCGTCCCCGCTGCTGCCGGGGTCGGTGACGGAGGCCAGGCCTCGCTCCACCACGGGCTTGATGGCCTTGAGGAGCTGGTAGCGCTCGTACAGGTCCGTGGGGCCGCCCTCAGGGGCCTCCCCGTCCCGCTCCTGCTGCGGGAAGACCCCTCGCAGCAGGCTGGGGAACATCACCTCCTGCTCCATCTTCTGGGTGGCTGAGAAGTACTGCTCCATGGCCTCAGCGCTTCTCCTGCTGCTGCCCGTGTGTCCCACAGGGGCTTTTTATGCTCTGCTCTCCCTCTCCTCCCCTCTGCTTCCTCCTCCTCTGGCCAGGCTGGGCTCCAGCCCCATGTCCCTGGCTGTGCCCTTAGCCCCACTTGGCCCCGGTGCCGCCGTGTCCCCGGGTGCCCAGGGAGCTGGATGGCTCTTGGGCTGCTTCATGCTGCCTTTTGGGGTGGGTTCGGTTGGGATTCGGTGGCACTGGTGACAGCAGGGCACCGGGCAGGGGGCTGGAAGCCTTTGATCCAGCACTGCGGGTTGTCCCCTGTGTTCCCGCTCATGTCTGTACACTCAGCTCACCGATTTTGGGATCAGTTCCCGGTGTGAGGCATGAGAACCCAACGCTGCAGTCCTTTTGGGGTAAATCTCTGTGAGCAGTGGCAACGGGGGCTGTTGCAGCATCCCCTGCCGTGGTGGAGGGGGCCTGATCTGCTGTGGGGTGCTGCCCAGGGACCTTTGGAGCTGGTGGCAGGTCACAGCCCCTGCCTGGAACATCTTGGGGCCCTTATCAGTCACGTTCATCAGCGGTGCTGAGCTCTCCGGATGCCCTGACGGGACCCTGCCCAGGGCACCGGGAGCTTCTCCAGCTGCCAACCCAAAATCCTGAGCCAGGAGCATCGCCTGAGCTGGGCTCAGCCTTCCTCACCGCGCTGCCACCTCCTCCCCCTCACTCAGCCCCCGTCCTCCTGCTCCGGGTGGGTGAATGACCGCGGGGACATTCCCCCCCCAAGCACCCCGCGTGGCTCCTGGGCTCGGGCACCTGCGGGTCCACGTGGTGCTGGGGGGTCCAGGGCTGGTTCTGACCAGTTTCCCCTCCCTGAGCTCCAGGAGATATTTCTCAGCCCACCTCCCCAGCCTGTCCAGGTCCCTCTGTATGGCAGCGCGGCCCCCTGGTGGATCTCCCACTCCCCACGGGACTTTTCTCCCCAGATTTCTTCTTTTTCCCCAGATCTCATTGCCACAGGACAGCTTCAGCGCCTCCCCGCGTCACCACCCCATGGTTGGGGATCAGACAGAAACCCACAGCTGTGCCAGGATGAGGAAGTGCATGGGACACAGATCTGTCCCGAATTTAGGGGATTTCTCCATGGCGGTGCCATGCAGGCACCTCCTTGCTCACCTGTAAGGGCTGGAGGTGACCCCACTGAATCCCCATTCTGCTGCTTCTGTCACCCCCACCCTGCTCCATAACCCATGGATCCTGCACGGGGCTGCTGCCTGCCCGCTCCCTCCCAGCTCCTGCCTTGTTTCCAGCCTCCTTATGGGGTCAGCCCTCCGTATGGGGTCAGCCCTCGTTCTGGGGTCAACCTTCCTCATGGGGTCAGCCTTCCTTATGGGGTCAGCCCTCCTCATGGGGTCATCCCTCCTCATGGGGTCATCCCTCCTTATGGGGTCATCCCTCCTTATAGAGTTAGCCCTCCTCATGGGGTCATCCCTAATTCTGGGGTCAACCTTCCTCATGGGGTCATCCCTCCTTGTGGGGTCATCCCTCCTTGTGGGGTCAACCTTCATCATGGGGTCATCCCTCCTTATGGGGTTGGCCCTCCTTCTGGGGTCAGCCCTCCTTATGGGGTCACCTCCAGCAGAGCAGAGCCCATGCCGTGGTGGTGAGGGCTTGATCTGCTGTGGAGTGCTCCTTTGGGGCTCGGGGCAGGTCACAGCCCCTTCTGGGTGTCCCCCCATCCTCCCAAATCCCTCTCATGGGGTCACCTCCCCTTGACAAAACCGTCTTTCCCCCCTTGGAGAGGTGGCTCCTGCCTCTCCCCAGCACACGCTGAGCCTCGCGCCGGCTCCCACAGCCCCAAAACCCAAAGTGTCCCCCTCCCAGCTCCCTGGGACCCCTCTCCAGGGCCACTTGTCCCAGCCCCAGGTGCTGGGGCTGCAGACGGACCCCGCTGCGGGGTCGGGGCCCCGCTTGTCCCCGTGTCCCACAACACCACAAGCACGAGGCTGCTTCAGAAGAGTCCTTTTATTAGCAAAGAGAGGGGCAAAGGCCCGCGCGGCTCCAGGTACCAGCTGGAACCAGCTCCGCAGAGCTCGGGGCGAGAGCGCGAGGCCACCACCTGCCCCCGCTGCCACCGCTTCTGCTGCTGCTGCTGCTGCTGCTGCTGCTGCTGCTCGTCGCCAAGCGAGAGGAGGGCACGAGGCGGGCGGCTCCGTGGCGGCCCCAGAGGGCGGCGAGGGCTCTGGCACTGAGGATCCGGCCCCACAGCGTTCCCTGCGGGTCCTGGCACTGGAGGTGGAGGAGCGGGGCTGGGGGAAGAGGCAGAGACGCCGCGTGATGCCCGGGCTCCGCCAGCACCTTCCCGGGGCCCCCCCGGGCTCCGGCCCCCAGCGCTCGCTCACCTGGAGCCCGCGACGGCTTCACCAGCTGGGCTGCCCATCGCTGGGGCTGATCTGCTCCAGGATCTGGCTGTACCTGCGCGTCAGGGCTGTGGTGTCCCTGGCCAGGTGGCTGAGGACCTGCTGCAAGCCGGCCAGGTGGTGGGACAGGCGCTCCTCCAGGTTGCCCTCGGCTCCGTCGTCCGGGGCCGCCTCGGCGTCGTCCTCGGCGTCCCCGCTGCCGCCGGGGTCGGTGACGGAGGCCAGGCCTCGCTCCACCACGGGCTTGATGGCCTTGAGGAGCTGGTAGCGCTCGTACAGGTCTGTGGGGCCGCCCTCGGGGGCCTCCCCGTCCCGCTCCTGCTGCGGGAAGACCCCTCGCAGCAGGCTGGGGAACATCACCTCCTGCTCCATCTTCTGGGTGGCCGACAAGTACTGCTCCATGGCCTCAGCGCTTCTCCTGCTGCTGCCCGTGTGTCCCACAGAGGCTTTTTATGGGGCTGGGCACGGCCCCGCTCCGCTCCCCTCTCCTCCCCTCTGCTTCCTCCTCCCCTGGCCGGGCTGGGCTCCAGCCCCATGTCCCTGGCTCTGCCCGCGCGTGGCCTTGGCCCCAGCTGGCCCCCGGTGCCGCCGTGTCCCCAGGGTACCCAGAGAGCCGGGCGGTGAGGAGGGGAGGTGCCGTGCAGCCTCCGCCTGAAGATTTCCCATCCCGCCAAGGCCGCGCGGGAGGCTGGGGGTGTCACTGCCATTGGGGTGGCTTTGGCTGGGGCTCGGTGGCCACGCTGTGTCCCTGGCTCTGCTCCCCCAGCCCCAGCGGTGCTGCTGCCACCCAGGGGGATGTCCACTCTACCCCCGTTCCTGTCCCCCACCGTCCCGTGGGGGCCCCGGGTGTTGAGCAAGGCCCTGAGGCAGCCAAGGCACAGAGGTGACAGGGGAACACACGGGGGGACACACAGGGGACACCACCTCCTACTCTCCACCCCCGGGCTGAGCATTGTCCTCCTGGGCTGCTGTGGGGCTCGGGGCAGCCGATGGGGACTCAGCAACCCAAGGGTGGTCCCTGGCACCGCAGCGTGTCCGTCCCCATGTGCTGGGGGTGCTGTTCGCGGGGAAAAGTCCAAGATCAGAGCAGGGCTGAAGTTCTGCTGAGATCCCACCGGGACCATGCCCGGCGGCGGCGCCTGGCTCTTGCAACAGGGCCAAAGGCCGGGCTGCCAGGGAGTGTGGCAACCCGCTCCTATTTTGGGATCGGCCACGGGGTCCTTTGGCCCTTTGGCAGCCCTCGCCGGTAGCAGCTCTGCCCCGCATGCACACCGCGGGACGCTCTGCCCCACGCGCTCTCACGCCAGGGCCCTGTGGCCACCCCCACCTCTTCCCCTAAACGGACCTAAACATGCCCCTAAAGGACCAGGGGCTGGAGACCTCAAAGCACAGGACCCCGAGTGGCTGCTGGGGTTGGGCAGCAGTGTGTCCCTGTGGTGCCAGGGCTTTGTGCTTCCCCTCACTGAGCTCCAGGAGATGTTTCTCAGCCCACCTCCCGGCCTGGCCACGTCCTCATGGCTGTGGGGCCCTGTGCCCAACCTGCCGCTCCTCCCCGTGCCATGGCATCAGCAAACTTGCTGAGGCTGCAATCTGCGGGGCCGCCCGGATCCTTACTGAAGTTGTCAAACACAGCTGGGTCCATACTGCCCACGGGGTGCTCCACGTGTGTCCATTTTCCAGCAGGACTTTGCTCCCCTGCCACCCTCTCTGGGTGCAGCCATTCAGCTGGTTTTTGAAACCCCTCACTGGCCTCTCCCCCTTCCCCTACTTCAGCAGCGACTCCATGGGGATGTTATGGGGACAGCGTCAAAGCCCTATAGAAGTCCAGTGAGACAAAATCCACTGCTCCCTCCTCTCCCATCAAGCTGGTGATTTCCTTTTAGCAGCATCTCGACTAGTTCAGGCACGATTTCCCCTTGTTGCATCGCCACCTGCCAGCTCCCTCAGCACCCCTGGGTGCATCCCATGAGGGTCCATGGACTCCTTTGTGCCCACTCTGCTCAATATTTTTGTGGCCCGACCCCAGCAGCTACTCAGGGTCCTGTGCCTTGGGGTCTCCAGCCCCTGGTCCTTTAGGGGCACGTTTAGGTCCGTTTAGGGGAAGAGGTGGGGGAGGCCACGGGGCCCCAGCGTGAGAGCGCGTGGGGCAGAGCGTCCCGCGGTGTGCATGCGGGGCAGAGCTGCTACCGGCGAGGGCTGCCAAAGGGCCAAAGGACCCTGTGGCTGATCCCAAAATAGGAGCGGGTTGCCACACTCCCTGGCAGCCCGGCCTTTGGCCCTGTTGCAAGCGCCAGGCGCCACCGCCGGGCATGGTCCCGGTGGGAGCTCAGCAGAACTTCAGCCCTGCTCTGATCTTGGCTTTTTCCACGTTCCCTGAAAGCAGCACCCCCGGCACATGGGGACAGACACGCTGCGGTGCCAGGGACCATCCTTGGGTTGCTGAGACCCCATCAGCTGCCCCGAGCCCCGCAGCAGCCCAGGAGGACAACGCTCAGCCCAGGGGGTGGGGAGCAGGAGGTGGTGTCCCCCTGTGTGTCCCCCTGAGCCTTGGCTGCCTCAGGGCCTTGCTCAACACCCGTGGCCCCAATGGGACAGTGGGGGACAGGCACGGGGGCAGAGGGGACGTCCCCCTGGGTGGCAGCAGCACCGCTGGGGCAGGGGGAGCAGAGCCAGGGACACAGTGCGGCCACCGAGCCCCAGCCAAAGCCACCCCAGCGGCAGTGACACCCCCAGCCTCCCGAGTGGCCTTGGCAGGATGGGAAATCTTCAGGCAGAGGCCGCACGGCACCTCCCCTCCCCTCCTCGCCACCCGGCTCTCTGGGTACCCTGGGGACACAGCGGCACCGGGGGCCAGCTGGGGCCAAGGCCACGCGCGGGCAGAGCCAGGGACATGGGGCTGGAGCCCAGCCCGGCCAGGGGAGGAGGAAGCAGAGGGGAGGAGAGGAGGAGCGGAGCGGGGCCGTGCCCAGGCCCCATAAAAAGCCTCTGTGGGACACACGGGGAGCAGCAGGAGAAGCGCTGAGGCCATGGAGCAGTACTTGTCGGCCACCCAGAAGATGGAGCAGGAGGTGATGTTCCCCAGCCTGCTGCGAGGGGTCTTCCCGCAGCAGGAGCGGGACGGGGAGGCCCCCGAGGGCGGCCCCACAGGACCTGTACTGAGCGCTACCAGCTCCTCAAGGCCATCAAGCCCGTGGTGGAGCGAGGCCTGGCCTCCGTCACCGACCCGGCGGCAGCGGGGACACCGAGGACGATGCCTGAAGAGGCCCCGGACAACGGAGCCGAGGGCAACCTGGAGGAGCGCCTGTCCCACCACCTGGCCGGCTTGCAGCAGGTCCTCAGCCACCTGGCCAGGGACACCACGGCCCTGACGCGCAGGTACAGCCAGATCCTGGAGCAGATCAGCCCCAGGCGACGGGCAGCCCAGCTGGTGAAGCCGCCGCGGGCTCCAGGTGAGCGAGCTGCTGGGGGCCGGAGCCTGGGGGGGCCCCGGGGAGGTGCTGGCGGAGCCCAGGGCATCACGCGGCGTCTCTGCCTCTTCCCGCAGCCCCGCTCCTCCACCTCCAGCGCCAGGACCCGCGGGGAACGCTGTGGGGCCGGATCCCTCAGCGCCAGAGCCCTCGCTGCCCTCCGGGGCCACCACGGAGCCTGCCCGCCTCGTGCCCTCCTCTCGCTTGGCGACGAGCAGCAGCAGCAGCAGCAGCAGCAGCAGCAGAAGCGGCGGCGGGGGCAGGCGGCGGCCTCGTGCTCTCGCCCCGAGCTCTGCGGAGCTGGTTCCAGCTGGTACCTGGAGCCGCGCGGGCCTTTGCCCCTCTCTTTGCTAATAAAAGGACTCTTCCGAAGCGGCCGCGTGCTTGTGGTGTTGTGGGACACGGGGACAAGCGGGGCCCCGACCCCACAGTGGGGTCCGTCTGCAGCCCCAGCACAGGGCTGGGACAAGTGGCCCCGGAGAGGGGCCCCAGGGAGCTGGGAGGGGGACACTTTGGGTTTTGGGGCTGTGGGAGCCGGCGTGAGGCTTGGCGTGTGCTGGGGAGAGACAGGAGACACCTCTCCAAGGGGGGAAAGATGGTTTTGTCAAGGGGAGGTGACCCCATGAGAGGAATTTGGGAGGATGGGGGGACACCCAGTAGGGGCTGTGACCTGCCCCGAGCTCCAAAGGTCCCTGGAGCACCCCACAGCAGATCAGGCCCTCTCCTCCATGGCATGGGCTCTGCTCTGCTCCACAAACCTCCCTTGGTGACCTCACCAAGGCTGCACCTGCAATATTTTGGTTCACTTTTTTATATTTCCAGACCTAAATGTTTAAATACATCTGGAAATACTCCCACCTCCAGACATGCTGAGCACCCCGCAGTGAAATTCAGGAGAGCTGCGGGTTCTCAGCACGTCTGGAACACGTTCGGGGTCAACGTGCTGACTTAGGATCCACAAAGCAGGGCAGAAAGATTGAATCCTGACCACCAGGCAAAGAAAAACCAACATAAGAACACAAAATATATTGATATAACGTAACAGAAGAACAAAAACCTGAATACTCTGTGTTTAATCCTAACTTTTATTCAGTGAAAATGAAGGGTAGCTCTTTACCCAGGCCATGAGCAGCCTGCAGGAGCTCTCAGGATGGAATTGGGAGGATGCTTTGTGAGACGCAGGCTTGTAGCTGCTGGGGAAACCCTCAGCGGATTGGAATGAAGTCCTCCAGGAGCTCTCCGATTCTCTTCTTTCCTGCAAGGGGCAAGGAGATGGTTTAGGAAAATCCCTGTTCAGCATTTGAGATCAATTTTCAAGATTGAAATGCCCAAACCAGCACTATTTTCCTGTTCAGAAGGTTACCAAGCCACCAAAAACCTGCCTCCTGCTACCAGCTAGCTTGCTGCACAAACCCAGCACGCGATTTCTTTTCCATGGGGCAGAAGTGCAGAGCTCACTTCTGCAACGCCTCCTTACGTCTGCAGCCGCCCGCTGACACAGCACGATGCCATCATTATCCAACAGGCAGCCAGCTGGCTGTGCTTTATTAGAAAACAAACAATTCTGCCCCCAGCTGCTAGCGAAACTTTTATTTACTGAGGCATTTTTTGTGATTTCCGATATTCGTTATTTTCTTGGATTTTCATTTACTGGCACAATTTTGGTCGATCCGCTTATTTCGGTTTGGCTCTGCCATTTTTATATATAAATAAATTATTAAGAGGAAGAGTTGGTCATCGAGCTGATCAGCTTAACAAAAATACCTGCTTTCAGATGCTAACTGCTGACTGCTGTTACAATTAATACCGTGAAAAAGCATCAAAAGCATTTTGAGTTGTCAAAAAAGAACCTGCAAGCAGCACATCGACGTCTTTTTAAATTTATATATTTGTTTATTAACCAAAATGCTACGGCAGGCTGAGGTCTTTCCCAAAATACCAACCTGCTGTCTTGAAGTCCTCCGGGTGGTGCCTGACGTACTCGAACATTTCGCGGTCCTTCCTGGCGTGCACGTACTCGGTGCGCTTGGCGAGGAAGTAGCCGGCAAACCAGCCCACGGTGGTGAAGAGAACCTGGCGGTGAACACCTGCAAGGGGAAAAGAAAAGGCCAAAAAGGGTGATCTGACATCGAGGACGCAAAAAAAAAGAAATAAAAAAAGATCCCTCACTTCAGATTGTCCCCAAATCCCCCTCCAAAATCTCAGAGTTGCCCCAAATTCCGCCCCCCCCACCTGTCACCTCAGGGTTCCCCCCCAGTTCCCTGAATTCCCCTCAAATCCTCTCCATATCCCTCAGAGTCCCCCCAAACCTTCCCCATTACCCCTCAGAGTCCTCCTAGATCCCGCTCCACATCCCCTCAGAATCTCCCCAAACCCTGCCCTACACCCCTCAGAATCCCAAATCCCCAAGGCCCTTCAGAATCCCTGCCAAACCACTCAACCCCTCGGCATACCCCAAATCCCTCCCCAGTGTCCCTCAGAGTCCCCCCAAATGCCTACAAATTACCCTTCAGAATCCCCCCAAATCCCTCCCCATTATCCTCCAGACCTCCCTCAAATCCTCCCCATCACCCCTCAGTCCTCCTAAACTCACCACATCCCCTTAGACCCCCCAAATCCCTCCCCATTATCCCTCAGAGTCCTCCTAAACCCCTTTACATCCCCTCACAATCCCCCTGAAATCCCTCCCACTACCCCTCAGAATCTCCCCAAATCACCCCCAATCGCTCAGAATCCCCCAAACCACCTCAGTCCCAAATACCTCCTCATTACCCCACAGAATCCCCCCAGATCCCTCCCTAACCCCTCAAAGTCTCCCTTAGGAGACTTACCCCTCAGATTCCCCAAATCCCCCTTAGATCCTCCCTATTACCCCTGAGTCCCCAAATCTCTCCCCATTACCCGTCAGAACGCCCCCAAAATCTCTCCCCAACCCCTCAGACCCTCCTCAGATCCTCTTTATTATCCCTCAGAGTCCTCCTAAACCCCTTCACATCCCCTCAGAATCCCCCCAAATCCTGCCCAACCCATCAAAATCTCCACAGATCCTCCCTTTTACCCCTCAGTGCCACCCCAAATCCTTCCCCACTACCCATCAGCCCCCCCAATCCCTCCCCATTACCCCACAGAATCCCCCCAAAGCCCTCCCTAACCCCTCAGTCTCCCTTAGATCCTCCCCATTACCCCTCAGACCCCCCCAAATCCCTCCCCAACCCCTCAAAATCCCCCTTAGATCCTTGCCATTACCCCTCAGAATTCCCCCAAATCCCTCCCCATTACCTCTCAGACCCCCAAATCCCTCCCCATTACCCCACAGAATCCCCCGAAATCCCTCTCCAGCCCCTCAAAGTCCCCCTTAAATCCTCCCCATTACCCCTCAGAGTCCCCTTTAGGTCCTCCCCGTTCCCCCTCAGACCCCCAAATCCCTCCCCATTGACCCTCAGACCCTCCCCATTACCTCTCAGACCCCCTAAACCCTCCCCATTACCCAACAGAATCCCCCCAAATCCCTCCCAAACCCCTCAAAGCCCCCCTTAGATCCTCCCCATTCCCCCTCAGAGTCTCCCCTAGGTCCTCCCTGTTCCCTCTCAGACCCCCAAATCCCCCCCCATTGCCCCTTAGACCCCCTCAGACCCTCCCCATTACCTCTCAGACCCCCCAAATCCCTCCCCATTTCCCCTCAGAATCGCCCCCAAATCCCTCCCTATTCCCCCTCAGTCCCCCCAGATCCCTCCCCATTACCTCATAGAATCCCTCCAAATCCCCCCAACCCCTCAGAATTCCCCCTAAATCCTCCCCATTACCCCTCAGCCCCCAAAATCCCTCCCCAACCCCTCAAAGCCACCCTTAGATCCTCCCCATTACCTACCATAATCCCCCCAAATCCCTCCCCATATCCCTCAGACACCCCTGAAATCCCTCAGAGACCTCCTAAACCCCTCACCACATCCCCTCAGGATCCCCCCAAATCCCTCCCCATTACCCTACAGAATCCCCCCAAATCCCCCCAACCCCTCAGAGTCCCCCTTAAATCCTCCCCCATTACCCCTCAGCCCCCCAAATCCTTCCCCAACCCCTCAAAGCTCCCCTTAGATCCTCCCCATTCCCCCTCAGACCCCCAAATCCATCCCCATTACCCCTAGATCCTCCCCATTCCCCCTCAGACCCCCCAAATCCCTCCCCAGTCCCCCTCAGATCCCCCAAATCTCTCCCCTTTACCCCACAGAATTCCTCCAAATCCCTCCACAACCCCTCAAAGCCCCCCCTAGATTCTCCCCATTCTCCCTCAGTTCTCCCAAATCCCTCTTCATTACCCCTCAGCACCCCAAATCCCTCCCCAATCCCTCAGAGCCCCCCCTAGGTCCTCCCCATTCCCCCTCAGACCCCCAAATCCATCCCCATTACCTCTCAGAATCGCCCCCAAGTCCCTCCCCTTTACCCCACAGAATTCCCCCAAATCCCTCTCGAACTCCTCAAAGCCCCCCCTAGATCCTCCCCATTACCCCTCAGCCCCCCCAAATCCCTCCCCATTACCCCACAGAATCCCCACAAATCCCTCCCAAACCCCTCAAAGCCCCCCTTAAATCCTCCCCATTACCCCTCGGAGTCCCCCTTAGGTCCTCCCCGTTCCCCCTCAGACCCCAAAATCCCTCCCCATTGCCCCTCAGACCCTCCCCATTACCTCTCAGACCCCCAAATCCCTCCCTATTCCCCCTCAGACCCCCCAAATCCCTCCCCATTACCTCTCAGACCCCCTAAACCCTCCCCATTACCCCACAGAATCCCCCCAAATCCCTCCCCAACCCCTCAAAGCCCCCCTTAAATCCTCCACATTCCCCCTCAGAGTCCCCCCTAGGTCCTCCCCATTACCTCTCAGACCCTCAAATCCTTCCCCATTCCCCCTCAGAATCGCCCCCAAATCCCTCCCTATTCCCCCTCAGTCCCCCCAAATCCCTCCCCATTCCCCCTCAACCCCCCCCCCAAACCCTCCCCATTCCCCCCCAACCCCTCACTCCCCCTTCCCCAACGCCCCCAACCCACTCTCCCCCCTACCTCCCTCACCTCCCCTCACCCTCCCAAACCCCAAACCCACCCCAAAACCCCACACCCCAGCCCCTTCCCCCGTCCCCTACCTGCCGTGAGGAGGGGCCGCTGGCTGAAGCCATTGGCCAGCAGTGCCGCCAACCAGCCGGCGCCTCCCAGCCACGCCGACATCTTGTTCACCAGCGGTGGCGGCGGCAGCCCCCGCGCCTCCTCAGGGACGGCCGCCATGGCGCCCGGGCCGCCCAAGGTGACCGCCCGCCTCCCTGCGCCTCAGCCAGCCCCTCCGCCGAGCCCGCCCGCCCCTCACACACGGGTTCCGCCGCCTTCCTTCCTCTGTTTTCACCACGATTTTGAACGAAAATCGGTGTTTTTTAACGCAAACGCCCTCCCCTAAATGCCACCCCCCCCCCCCCCCCAAGCGGCGTGGTGGTAACGGGGCTGAGCCCTCTTGTGGTGGTCGAGCAGGGGGCGCGGCGGCTGTGAGGTTTTTGCAGCTTTCGAAGGCCTAAGTTTTGGTTAAACTGCTTCAAAAACACTTCATTTTGAGAATTCTTTCTGCAAAACAGATAAATATTAATATGGTAGCGCGACCCAGAATGATTTTTCTTTTAAATGAATCTGAAATTACCTTAAGCCACCTGTGAGAGCAATACCCATACAATAACATAACCATAAAAAAAAGCCAAACACAACACAACTTCCCGATCTAACCCTATTTATTATTTAGTCTGTCCCCACAAGGAGGATGTTTGGGTATCAGTGTCCCATAGCAGGGTGCTGGAGGTGACACGGGAGCCCCCTCAAAGCAGGGAGCTGGGGGTCGGTCTCTGCTCACAGGTAACCAGGGACAGGATTTATAGAGAATGGCCTCAAGAAATTATGAGAAAGTAATGACAACTGCAGTGAAGAAAGCTGAAAAGGAGCTTGTCATCTGTGAATAGTTTTATCGGTACCTTGTGTTTACACAAATTGCCTAAAATCCTACTCCAAGCACCCCTATTGCCACAGCAACCCCTCTAACTGCTACCTGCTTTCCTACCTGAGCCACACATTACTTTAACATCCAAAATATTCAGAGTGGAGACTTTTAATCAAGTATCCCCTCTAAAGGGGACCTCGTTCTTTGACAGGGCTGAAGTCCAAAAGCTGCTCAAAAGCTCCATCCCCTCTGCCCTCCCCCACAGAATCCCTCCCCATTTGTGGGTGTGACATCACTGGGGCCCAAAACAATCCTATTCCTAGAGCAAAATCTCTGAGGGACAGCAGGTTTTCAAAAACCTTGTCTTCTAAAGTAGGTGTGATTAGAATACATTAAAACCTCCTTGAAAAGGCTATGAAATAGATCAAAGGGACATGGCCACATTAAGCAGAAATGCAAAGCTGTGGCTTCAGGTGTTCAGAAGCTTCACAGAGCACCCCAAGAGTTTCCCCAAGGACATTACGTCCTTATTTGTACCTCAACAGTAAAGCTTGGACAGGAGCTGAAAAAGGGGCAAGAAAGGCTGAAAACAAAAATACCAAGTTCCTTTTATTTCCATATTCCACAGTATGCAGTTACAATGCTCTCGCTACACCAGCCATGACCTCTTGTAATTTCTGGTTCCCTTTTTATTCAAATACAGACAGTAACGGGAAAGCCAGGCAGGTTTTCCTCAGGACAGAAGCCTGAACCTCTTACATAGTTAACAAGAATACAAAATCCTTTTTTGTTAAGCTTCACAGTTTATTCGTGGCAAAGTATAGTCTCAGTGGACCACATTATTGTGACGAGTGTTTCTGAGCAGAGGTACAGCAGTTGGACAGTACGGAAGTGTTGGAAGAAAAACTCTCCTCACGGAGATGGTAAACATACAGCTGGCTGTAAGACAACAACGCCTCACCTGTGCTGGATAACCCTCTTCAAGGGATAACCTGGAACGGGTCCCACCAACACAGCTTTACTCAGCCTTCTGCCTAACAGAAACGTGCTCAGTCAAGACGCTGATGTACAGCTTCAGCCAAGCGTATGTGACACCCAGAGCACAGTAAACAGAGGTCAACAACAGAGGGACAAAAGGAAGCTGCAGCTTCCAGGAGGTCAGAGGAAATATAATTTCACAGAAGATTTCCAAAGGCACCAATTGGATGAGGTAGATTGTTTCAAGCCAGTTAAGGAGAGGCCTGTCTCTCCTGTCAGAGAGAATTAAAGAAAAAGATGTTAAAATACATGTTGTTACTAAAAATAACTATTTTTTTTTCAGCTACTACTGGTGACACAAAAACAGTGCAGAGAATATCACCCACTAATTCAAAAGGCTTTCAATAAACACTTAGATCTTCAGTTGTCAGGAGGAAAACCCACGATAACACACAGTACAGTCAATTCCCTTATCACGTGGTTTTTACACAGTTCCAACAGGCCTTTGTTGAGCACAAATCAATCTAGGTGGAGATCACATCACACCAAAGGACAATTAAACAAATCTCCTGTACTTTATACACGGGTTTGTTCCACTCAAGTTCTTCTGCACCCAAGGACTACAAATGTCAGGTTTATCCTAACCACTGCCCCCTCCCCACAAGCTTTCTGTAGGAAATCTAAGTTCATCTCTTGGAATGGACACTGCTAGTAGGGTTTTGATTACAAGCAGTCAACAGGCTACATTCATATTCTGATTTTAACAAAGTTATGAACAAGAAATTTGCAAAAGCTTGAGCTCTACACAAGCTAAGCACCTACAGAGGACTTAGGGCACTTAAGAAATGACCTGAGTCCAGAACACTACAGGGGACAAAGAAGTCTGGCTGAAAGGGGATGACCTACAAAAAGCAAGTGACTGCTGTAATAAATACAGGCTTATAGCAAAAAGAACCTTCATTACAGCTTGGCTTTGTCCGTAAAAAGTTTGGGAAATAGGACATGGAGACTACAGGATTTATAATAAACATTGTCTTTGGTTGAGCGGGATCAACTGCCTTAAAAATACACTGGGTTTACACCCTTCTGAGACTAACTGGACAGTTGTCACCGTTCAAACAGAACAAGGATGTCCTAAAAAAGATCCTATCTTAAGCCCTCCTTCCTGAAAACAGAGACATCACCTTAACACAGAAAACTGACGCTAAAACATGAAACTGAAGGGCTGTTTGTCTCTTATGACAACACAGTTCCCAGTGACAGAGGTGGTTTCATTCTTAACTTCAGGAACAAATTTTGTTTCATTACCTGAATAGAGATTTCAGCGAAGAGAAGCTATAAACTGTAAACAGCAGCATAAGCAGTATTTTGATTGGAAGTTCTGAAACGGAAGGAACACAATATACAATTAAAATTAGTTACAACAAACATTTACCATTTAAGTTACAGCAACCTTAAGTGCTAGTATTCAAGCTTGTGTTGTTCAATTTAATTATTTTCTCCAAACCAAACTAAATTATTTATAGGACTTGCATTTATATACAGGATATATATTGCATATATAGGACTTGCATATATATACAGAATATAAGAATTAGCATATGTATTTACTAAACAAAATGCCAAGCATTCCAACACACACAGGATACAGAGTGAACACAATTACAATATACGACAGCACTGCTAATAAGATTTTTCTATTCAAAAGTGATCAGAAATTACTAGGAAGCTTAAAACATGTGAACAACAGGAAAATCTAGTTCTAAGTTACACACTATAAAGGAGTTAGTTAACAGAGAACATAAAGGAAGTTTCTCAAGTCTAAAGGCAGCAAGTCTACTGCAAATAAATGGCATTATTTGACCAGAAGAGAGCATCTGGATTTGAGCTCTACCAGAAGTATGCCAATCATTACGCAAGTGGTTGTCTGTTTATTTCATTTAAACCTTAACACGTCAGACCTTTGATTAATCAAAGGCAAGAGGAAGAAGGAACAGCACTCATTCACACACAAGAAAATCTATCCCTACACAACTGATTTAATTGATGCTACTGCAGGAATTTTAATTTATTTGATAGCACTAAGCAGCGGTCAGCTGGAAAAGTTGGCTGGAAAACAGCCTGCCGGATCTGTAGTCTCAAGTCGTCTTTATCATGTCTTGCTTCACGTGGTTATCTTGCTTTCCCCATGGCAGGGGAAAGCTTCTAGAACTGTGGCAGAGTGAGGGGTAACAAATACTGATGATTACAATTCCCCATCTTTATTTCAGTTTGAATTTCATGATTCTTCCACTGTGTTTTGTTTTTTTAAACCAAAATTTCATTTGTTGGAGAGCCATATTTACAAAACCAGGCTCACATATAGCATCTTGCAACTTCCAAATTATCACATGAAATAATCCAAAGCCATTATCTGCTCTTCAGCAACCAGAAACGTGAGAGCACAGAAAAAAGACACTTTACCCGGTGCTGTGAACAGCAATGGAAAGAGGGAGAAATGCCCTGTGGTCGTCAGGATCAAGTAGATGCCAGCATCCTTTGCTCTCTGAACAGACAACAAGCTAAAAAATGACAAGAACTTATGTTAACCAGTTTTCTTTTAGCAAAGAAACTTTGTTTCAGCAAAAACACTACGCAAGTCACAAAGGAGATGAAAAACAGGTGATATGGAGTTATGTAGGACCCCAGTCCTTCCAAATCCTGGACCTGTGATGGAATCTCCTGCTACCAAGCCACCTGACTTCTTAAAAACACAGGAGAAAAATCAACCAAGAAACCCCCTCCCCAGGAAACCACACGCTCACTGAACACAAGTCTCAGAAAGTTCCAAGATTTTCTAAAAATGCTATTTTTTCCCCCCTACAAATGGTCTTTTTCCTTTGCCATCTGCCTGGCAACACTGTCATCCCTGCTCCCTTCTCCTTCCCTTTGCTATTCCGGTGTTAATTCCCTCCTATGACTGGCACCCCAGTCTGGGGTTTTATGTCGGTGGTTACAGTAGCCCTATTCAGTAGTTCACATGCAGGAACTATCCGAAACTGTGACAATAAGCTAAGTGTTAGCAATCTTGCCTCTAATCATATTCGCAAGTATCAGTTATGTTTCCTTGACACGTGTCTGAGCATCCATTCTTCTCTATCACCACTGCTGCAGAGCAATTGTGTACAATTACAAGTGATGCAGCACATGATCAGGATTATTTTCCAGTTGTACCCACATTCACGTACCATCAGAACAAGTCCCACTTTAGGGTTTTAGTCGCTAAATTCAGACCTGGTTTGCCAAACTTGAGCACTAGGTGAAGCCAGGAGCTTGGGGCAGTGGCTGAATTACATGATTCTTAAGGTCTCTTCCAGCCCAAAGCATTCTGATTTTATGATTTTTATCAAGCTTGCCCTCAAGCTGTCAG